CTTTTTCCTTCTATCTCTGTTATTTGATTTTTGAAGTCCTTTTAAAGTTCTTCAAGAACTCTTTTGGGACTTGTGGCCATCTGATGGTATTCACTGGGGTATAAGTGGCTTTTTTACCTCACTATTTTCCTCTGAATATGAACCCAGATCTTCTTTTACACTACTGTGTCTAGCTATGGTTGGGTTCTTTTTCCTTTGTTCATTTTTTTTTGTTTTATTTTTAGCAGCTTATTATTGTAATCAGATCTTAATCCTGAGTTGTGGGTAGTGGTGTCCCAGGCCTTAGGTCCATCTTACTGCTATTTTCTGATATTCATATCACTTATCAAGTCTAAGAAGGTCATCTTGTTAGTTACGTTAATTGAGGCTGGAAAATGGGATACCCTTCTTACACCAGACCTGTTCACTTGTGCACTGTTCACCTGTGGAGTTATATGGGACAAATTTCCAGCTCCTCTCTGTCTCTTAAATGCCCTTTACTCCTTTGCCCAAACTATCACTTAGCCCTCCCACAAGAATAATTGATTCACTTGTATGGAGCACTAGAATTTAATCCATGGAGTATTAATTTAACTTTTCTTCTTTCCCTTCTCCTAATTCTTTAAATTTCCTCCAGTCTTCAGACACTTAGATTTTGTTTTTCTATCCCTTGATGACCTCTCTTTGTTCTTTCTTTTACTCCTCCATTTAACCTCCTTTTTTAAACATTCCCCTATAAACATGCAAGAATTGATTTCATTACTTAATCATGTTACATTTAATCATCCTAAGAAAGTGCTAATAGTGTAGATTAAACTTAGAAGTGCATATGCATACATTCCCTCTCCCTCCCTAGAGCTGTTTACCAATGCTCCCCTGTATTGCTCTGTAAATATTGTCTGAGATCAATAGCAATACAGTAGAAGGCTCAGGGAATGAAGTCATCACCAGACTAAGTTCTGGTGACTATAAGTTAATAATAATAATAATAATAAATATTTACGCAGTGTTTCATTTTTTGCAAAGTGCTTTACATTCATTAATTAATTTGAACCTCACCTCATCCCTTGCAGGAATTCATCAAATGCCTCTTTTTAAAGGGCAATCTTCTTTTCATTGACAAGCTGCCTCAATTTTGTAGGATGTATAGTTTTAGGTTGCAACGTGACCCTATTTGCTTTTCAAAATATCCTATTTCTTCCTTTCCTCTAATTTGTCATGACTGTGATATAATCCTGGGTCATTTGAATAAGCATTCCTTAATACGGGAAGGTCTTTCTCCTGACCCCTTACACCTTTGTTTTCTGTTATTAAAATTCTAATATCAACTTCTTTCATGCCTTGTATTTTCAAGCATGAATATATTTTTCTTTTGCTAATGTGTGCTTTCAATTAATCACTGCTTTGTTGTCTTTATTCAGAACTCTGGATAGTTTGCTAATATTCATGTATTATAGAGTTGTTCTTTTTTAAACAAACTTCTGGGAAACCTATGAATCTTAAGTTATGCTTGCACATCTTGTCTTGTAAGTTGCTTTGTTTATGTATATAATTTATGTATTCTTTTAACATTGTTGCCTTTTGATTTTCTTTCAGATTTGTTCTCACTTCTATATATTTTTCTGCTTTAAATATCTTTTTTTTACTAAGCCTCTACTTCTTTGATGAAATTTCTGTCGTATACTCAAAGTTTTATACTTTATTGTTTGTTTCATTTTTTTGCTTTGGCAACTCATTTCCTACTTCATATTAGTCTTAATATCTTTGTTCAACAATTTGTTTTACTTTTGAATAATCATGATGTGTCTTTCTGTTGTTACATGATTTCTGAGAAGGCTGCAATTGCCTTTTTTGTTCTTGGAATTATATTTCATTTCCCTTCATTGTATATTTGTCCATAGTTGTCTGGACTCTCTGATTATTTTTCAACTCATCCTTCATTCTTTCTGAACTTCTATGTTGAATTATATGCTTGTGATAGGTTTTGTACTAGGTTTTTATTTTTACTTTCTTTCTTGGCCTTTCAGTCTTTAAACATTTTTCTTATAATACTGACAACTTATTTCTTGTTTCCATTACCATCTTTGACCTTCCCCTTTAACAGCTAAATAGACACTCATGGATGGTAGCCATCTACTACCATACATCAGGGGCTGTCAGGGTCTGACCTAGATTCCTGAGTAGAGTAAATGCTGAGAGAAGAGGAGAGATCCAAAGTACATTTTCAAAACCATTTCCCTTGGGTAGAAGCTCTTTCTATTCTATCTTAAGACTAAGTCTATACGTTTATCCATACTGCTTGCATCTTTCACTTACTTCCTTCTACTTGCTATTCAGTGTGTGTGTGTGTGTGTGTGTGTGTGTGTGTGTGTGTGTGTGTGTGTGCGTGTGTGTACATAATCTGTCTTTCACTTTTCAAAGAGTTTACAGTCAGTGAGTTCAGGATGAATCACCATCATGAGATACGGAGAAAACCAGGCAAGATTCCTCAGGTGCAGAACTCAATCCATTTTATCATCAAGCTGCTAACTAATACCCAGATTTCAGTCTGCTTACCCTTGATTAGGTGTAACGTTTTCCATATTGAAACTATTGTGAGTCATAATTAGAATTTGTAAACATTACATAGTGACACAGGGCACCCATTTCTTTTCTCTAAGGCTTTTCAACATGTTTTATGGTCCAGAGAAGCAAACAATGGGTACATATCTTATGGAGTTTATGCTTCTTTGTTTAGAGAAGACTGGTAGCAAAGGAGGATTGTCAATTTAATCCAAGTTGACCCAAGTGAAGTCAATTCATGACAATAAGCATTCATTAAACATCTACTATGTGTAAGACACTTCACTAGATTCTAGTGGTAAGAAGTTAAAAGTAGAGTCATCTGAAGGTAATTGTTTAGCAAAAAGCTTCCACTAAATTCATCATTAAATACCTTATTGATTACTCTTGTTTTTGTTGTTGCTCAGTTGTTCATTCAAATCTGGTTCTATGTGACCCTATGGACATTTTCCATGGAATTTTCTTGGCAAAGATACTAGGGTGGTATGTCATTTCTTTCTCTGGTGTGTCCCCGTTTTAAAGATTTGAAACTGAAATAAACAGGTATTAAGTGACTTGTCTATAGTCAAATAGCTAGTAAGTGTCTGAGGCTGGACTTTAACTCAGATTGTCCTGACTCCAGGTCTGTTGCTGTATCTGTCATACCATCTAGCTGCCATTATTGATTACTGAGGCAACGAATTTCAAATTCCATGCATACGGAGCACAAGTACTAGCTAGCTTGGCCAAACTGGAAAAGTTTCATGAATATGTTGAATGATGGACTGAATATGTATCATTTGGGGACCACCTAGATAATTTCAAGAAAAGCTCATCACCAAAACATTGGGCATCAGCTGTCAAATTTGCTTATCCAAAGCATCTCTATCTGCTAATCATTAGAAGCTAAAACCAATGGAGGCATTGTATTTTGTGTTGAGGGAGAAATACATATAATACTGAAATGGATCAGTTATATCAATGATTTGAATATTCTTTCCCATGATATCTGTTCAAGTTTGCTCATTCTAGTTTATTCTTGTCTATATTCTCCTTTAAATTCATAATAGGAAGTCTACCCAAAATGCTAGAAAAAGAAGCCATGTAGAAGAAATCAGGAAGTTGTAAGCAAAAAGTTACGAGTCTATATTATTTGACAAATCACAACATTGGGCATTAGGAATGAACATTTCTCTAGTTTTAAAGCTAGTTTTTTAGAGCCATTAAATCTTAAAAGTCATAAAAAAGTACAAAATTTACTCTGGGATGGGGGTTCTTAACCTGAGGTTCATGAACACGTTTTCTTTTTACTTTTTAATTAAATTTCAATAGAAATTGTTTCCTTTGTAACCTCTGTAGTTTATTTTCTCTATCTAAAAGCATTATTCTGAGAAGAGGGCCCAAGTTTTCACCAAACTGCCAAAGGGATCCATTATATACAAAAAGCGTAAGAAGCTTCTACTCAAGAATATTATGCTTAAAATTTTATTCCAACTCATTACTCTCCTAGAGAATGTTATCCTCCTTTTAGAATGCTACTGTATTTCTACTATGAGAAAGCTGAAGACAGGCTAAGAGCAATCTTAGGCTGCAAATAGTGCTTTAAAAGTAAACAGAATGGTGGCAGCTAGGTGGTGCATGGATAGAACACAGGCCCTGGAGTCAGGAGGACCTGAGTTCAAATCAGGACTCAGACATACAACACTTACTAGCTGTGTGACCCTGGGCAAGTCACTTAACCTCATTGCCTAGCCAAAAGAAAAAAAGTGAACAAAATGAATGTTTTCTATTTTTGTTATAAGAAAAAAACATGTTTGTACGCTGGCCTGATGGTTTTTTTTGGCCTCTGTTGGCCTCAATTAAATTTTCAGGTCACATTATATAGAAATGATTGCCTATCCCTGGGTTAAGGAATTGTTCCCTATTCAAAATAAAACTTCCCTGGATTGGTAGGATGTTGAGTTCCTCTCAACCTCTCTCACTTTAGTCTAGATGCATGTCAGTAATTCAGTTTTTCAAATTCTTCTCTTCTGCCTTCCAAAGAAATATAGACTTGGATAGGACAGAAAGACCATCAAAGCATGGAGAGACAGGGGTTGAAGGATTCAAAAATGGAAAGTGAAAGGATATTACATACAAACTTTACCTTCTTTCTAATGTTGGCCTAGGACAGGCATTGGCTTTTGCGACCCAGAATATATAAATCTTTGACTTTTAAGATTACAGAATTTGATATCGAATCTTGAAGTTAAAGCTAGAAGAATCTTAGAAACTCTCTAGGCCATACTTTCCACACATATTTTGCTGATGATAAAAATGAAGTTCATAGAGGTAAAATCCAAGGTCAAACACTGATTAGTGGCTTAGCCTTAGAGATTAGTACTGTTTATACTGCCCTATGACATGAAGAAGGTACAGTCATGATAAGTCAAATACTTTATATTAAAAAAACTAAGGGAACATTTTCCAGTGGCTATAGACTACACAAAATTTTCCCAATCTTTCAACCTGATTAAGGCCATCTTTACTTCCTTGTTCCTTAGGGTATACACCAGGGGATTCAGCATGGGTGTGATTATTGTTTGGAAAATGGTTATAATCCTATCCATAACATGTTTTGAGCCTGGTCTTAGATAAATGATGAGACCAGGCACAAAGAAACAGAGGACCACAATGCAATGGGAAGCACACGTCTGGAAGGCTTTGAGTCTGCCCTCTGCTGTGCGGATCTTCAGAATAGCAAGAACAATGGTCATATAGGAAAGGAAAATCAGGAAGCAACATCCAGAGGCCACCACACCAATATTAACAAAGATTACCGTCTCATTGACTGAGGTGTTGGCACAGGCCAACTTGAGAATGGATGGTGCATCACAAAGGTAATACTCAATCTGGTTGGGGCCACAGTAGGGTAGGCGGAAGGTCAGGACAGCCTGGGCTGCTGAGTGGATAGCACCACTGAGCCATGTGCCTCCAGCTAGAAGGGCACATGCTTTCCCACTCATCATGGTAGCATAACGCAGGGGATAAGTGATGGCCAGGTAGCAGTCATAGGACATGACTGTGTAGAGGAAACACTCAGTGCTTCCCAGACAATGGAAGAAATAGAGTTGAGCCACACAACTGTGAAATGAGATGGCCCCACCATCTGGGGAGAGGAGACCCATGAGTATCTTGGGCACAGTGACAGTGGAGAACCACATGTCAATAAAGGAGAGGTTGGCCAGGAAATAGTACATGGGAGTGCGGAGGTGGGAGTCCATCTTGATCACCAGCAGGATGAGGAGATTTCCTACTAAAGTGAGTGCATAGATCACTAAGAAGATCCCAAATAGGGGTGTCCCCAGTTTGGGTGTATGGGGAATCCCTGTGAGGATGAATGTAGTCACGAAGCTCTCATTCTCTCTGTCCATTTAGACAATGGACTCTTTTCCTAAAGAAGGAAAAATCATTCAATCAATTGGCAAGCATTTTAAACACCTACTAGTCATTGTACTAGGCATTGGAAATACAAAAAGAAAAAGAAAATAGTTCCTGGACTCAAGAATTTTATACCATCTTGGAGAAAATAACATAAACATAAAATAGTAGCAGGGGATGACAGCTGACATTCTCTGTGTGTAATCTGCATAATCACCCCTCCTTTTATCTTCTACATATCCATTTTCTTTATTCATTCTCCTATAAGGTTCTAAGTCAGTGAAGGGACTTTTTTAAAATATTCTCTCTTAACTAAAATTGAAACAACTTTCTTCTTACTTAATTAGTTCTATGCCACTACCCCAATTGAATAACATTACTTGTTAAATATACTAGAGAAAATATTTTTCCATAACTTTTTGTTTATCTCAGTACTAATTTCCCTAATCTTCTAGGCTTAAATAAACATCAATTTATTATATACAATTTATTAGAAATGCAACAAATATTAAAAGAAACACATCATTCTTTACAATGCATGAGGTCTGAGAAAGGTTATAGCCATAGTCACTTCTGACTATCTCTATATATCTGACTTTTCATCATTTCAGGAAATACAAGATCATACTTCACTTCTCTCAGAATATCAATTAAAATTTCTTATCAAGAATTTTCATTTTTCTTTAAAAGATAAGTTAAAGATTTATCTTGAGAAAAAAGCTCTGCTATAAATACAGAATACAAAAGGTAGTAATAAATAAAAGCTTCTCTGAATGGATATTGAAAGCCTCATTGGAATTATTCAAAATCAATGTTTAGATTTTCCCCTTTTTTCTATCCTTGTTAACTTTGAAAATTCCTTGGGGTTTGAGCTGGATGAACAGAAAAAGACAGTGGTAGTAAGGGTTGGGTTTGATAAATGGTAGAAATCAGAGGTGGAGAAGGTAGGTTGGTGGGGAAAATAGGAGCTATGGTGAATAGAACAAAAGCACTTGTGAGCCAAAGGAAATATCTGGAAGGTTTAAACTCTCATCTTGCATGGCAAACATGACACACAAAGAGAACTCTACAGGTTCTTTCAGACACTGCATGGAGAAATTATTAAGATGGGGGATAGTGCTGGAGACCTGAGAAAGCATTGATAGGAGTCGGTTTGGAAACAGAGGAGAAATACACAGACAAAAAGAAAGGTAATAGACAAGGAGACATCGGAGAGCTAGTTAAAAAGAGGAGAAGGGAGGAAAAAGAGAGGGAAAGAGAGAGAGAGAGAGAGAGAGCGCTATTGTCACTCCTCTTTGTGAAGAGAGGACTTTCCCAGAGGAGACTTCATATTATGGATTGTAATTACTAGGAATTTGCATTTTACATAAATTGAACTGTCAACAATTCAATAGTTTTTGTTTTATTTTCATGATTCTTTGAATGAAATTTATCCTTGATATTCTGAATTCTATATACAATTAACAATTGTAACTTCCTGTTATATTTTCCACTACCAGGGAGTCTTAGATGAAAGTGACATACATATCATTCATTAATAAAAATCTGAAATTGCAAAGCACAGAGTGAAATAATGAATTTGGTATAAGACACTTAAATGCTAGAAAAACTCATGAGAGCAAACAGATGAATGTCTGCAAATATAAACAAAATATTAAAGGACAAATAATCTAAACTTTTCTTATAGGACAAAGACATTTAAGGCATCAGTTGTGGCACAGAAAAGGGATCTAGGAAATTTTGTATCAGGTCCATGAGCTTTCTGACCTCAGTGTCTATGAACCTCTGGTATCTCATGGAAAAAAATGAAGATAATAATACTTATACTATGTACCTCACACTACTGTGTGGAAAATTGTTCATACACATTAAAGAACTGAATAAATATGATAAATATGTGTAGTAAATGAATAAATATTATAATTTTGAGTGCCTAAATATATAAGTTGATGTGATTCTTCAGAAAATAAACAAAGAAACCATTATCCTGTCTTTTTGCAAGGCCACATAACACCTGTACTCGGAATTCTGTGCCCTGAGTCTGATTTGCTATAACTCAAGATAAACATATTGGCGCTAGAAGGCATGTCTGCAACCAGAATCAGCTAGCTCTCTAAGGAGAGGCTAAAAGATTGGGAATCCAAGGATGTGTGATGGCTGAGCAGAGGTAGAGCAACATCTATAAATTTATGATGGAAATAGGTTGAACATATACTTAGTCAAGAAATCTTTACATATGTTCTGTAGAACACTGAATACAATCTCCTCAAATTAGTAACACAATTCAAAATAATAAAATAAACCAATATTTTGCATAGTGTGTTCAATTAATTTTTTGAAAGTCATTTTCCTAAGAAATAATCAATCTGAAATATAAATGGATTCAAAAGATATTCAGATCAGTTCCTGGACAATGAGAGTTGAAATACAACTTAGACTTCCCTTAGCCCAATTTATTCGTTAAGTATATGAGGAAACAGAAGCTAAGTTAGGTTTCATTGGCTAGAAATACCTGAGTTTGACATCACTAATGCAGAAATTTATTTTGCATAACTACATGTATTTGTATTAGAATCTATTATTTTGCCTGCTCCGTGGGTGAGGGAGTGAAAAGTAAAAGGGAGAGAATTTGCAACTGAAAATAAAATAAAATAGAATTTTAAAATATCTGGTTTTTTTAAAATCCTATCAAATAAAATATAATTAGGGGAATTTTAACAAAATAATAAAAATACAACATAAAAGAATAAAGACCTGAATATGAGTCCTGTCTCAGACCCATCCTAGCTGTGACCATGAATGAGTCACTCTCTGTGTGCCTCAACTTCCTTATCTCTAAAGAAAATAATGACACCTGGCTCATCTATTTTTTTGGTAAAGATCACAACATTTAAAGCACTCCATGAATTCTTTCTTCTGTTATATGTGAATTGGTTAGCCTTAGTCCAGAAGTGGAAAGGATTTTAATGATTACATAGATTTCTATGCAACCCTTTTACTTTTCAGCTGAGGAAACTTCAGATGAGGAAGTCAATATCACTTACCCAAGATCATACAAAAGGAAGGAGTATAATCAAGTCTCAGAACCAAGTCTTCGAAGAATTGTGACTCCAAGTCCTTTGTTCCTTCTCAACATACCACACTCAGAGGACTGAAGAATCCAAATATTCTGATTATATATGCAATGCCTTTACCACAGCACCATTACAGCCTCTCTAGGTGGCAGGAAATTAGAATATTTTTTATTTGATATCAATTAGGATAGCTAAGCATATTGCTTCATATCACTGGAAGAGACAGAATCCTGGGTAGGAATAATCATGGACCAAATACTGTATAGCAATTCTTCTATTTTTATTTTCTAATATCTCTCTTATTCCTATTTTGGAAAAAAAAAACATCCTTTTTCCTCCCCTAAGGTATTGTTCATTCCCTAAGGTGGTTCTTAGAAGAACATTGTGAGAAAATCTTAAAAGAAAATTAGGTACTTTAACTCTTTAACAATGCAACTGAGCATAGAAATCATGGTCTCAACAAAGCAACAGATTAAGACAAATGCTGCCAATATTGCAGTAGTGCCATGAGCCAAGTCCCATGCTGAGTTGAGTTCATAAAACCCCAAAATACATGAGTGATGCTACCAGGTCCAGGACTGTGTAGAGAGAATGCAATTTTACTTCTCTACTTGCATATAATTAAATGTGGCTTATGCCATTATGTAATTCCAGACATCTAGAATAAGGAATTTGACAGGTGAGGAGAAATGAAGAGAGTTTTGGGTTAAAGGAAAACGTTTAATAATTTTAGTGGAAACAGAACTGTAATAGATATCAGTTTTCTAGAATTCTAATTTTAACCCTAAATGAAATTATAGTGCATGGTACTGGGTTTTAGGTAGTTTCTTGCCCCTTGGATTTGTGGCAAATAACAATAACAAACACATATAAACAAAAATAAAAATATATAATGGAGCAAATATAATGTTATGGAAAGTTCAGCAGAATGGAATTGTACTCATGTAAGTTTTCTCCAAAGGAAGTAGTTCTTCTCTTGTTTCTCTGATTTTCTTTCTATTTCCTGCATTCTTCTCCTTTTTTTCTCTTTTCTATTCTTTCAAAATCTCATCCACTACTCTGGTATCAACTCAATGTATATAAAACCCAAATCTGTACCATCATCCATTACCTCTCTCTTTCTTTTTAACCTCCTTATTGGGCATCCCTGTCTGAGAATCTTGCCACCACTTAAAACTCATACCCCTAGCTAAGCTTAATGCCCCTCAAGTTGACCAACTCCCAGCTTTTCCAACTTCAACCTGCCTCCAAAATGTCCCTTGATTCGGTCTGTTATTTTCAATCCTGTTGCAATCATCCTAATTTAGGTCCTCATCCATTATCCCTCTTCTGCATTATAGTAACAAATATATGACTAGTTTGCCTGCCTTCATCCCCTCTTACTTACACCTCACCAAGTAGCCCAAACCCTGCATATTGTTGATTCAGTAGTACTAAAATTTTGATTATATCATACCATGCAGCAGTGCTCTCCATGGCTTCTAATTATGTATACAGTAAAGCCCATATTTTGTAACATGAAATTTAAAGGTTATAGACAATGAGGAGCCTTAGAAAGGATTGCCCAGCTACATATTCTTATTTCACAAGTGTCTCATTTCTTCTACTCTATGATAATGTGGAAAAAACAATAGTGTTAGATTCAAAAGACCTCTTTTCAAGTCCTATATCCAACATGATCCTAGGCAAATAATTTCATCAATCTGCACCTCCATTTTCCCCATTTGTAGAAGCAAAAATAATACTGTTAATGCATATTTCACAGGGTGATTGTCCAGAAATTGGCTTGAAAATTTTAAACTTCCTTAAAAAATAATACCTAATAATTAACTATTTGATCTATGCTTTTAAATTCCTTGAGGTCAGGAAGTATATCCTATTCATTTTGCATTCTCCACAGCACTTAGCACAATGCCTTG